AGTATCCCGGAGCCGTGTTCATCATGCCATGGCATGGCATCGTCTGAACCTTGCTATCATGCCATGGCATGATGGGAAGGTCCAGTCTCCCGGAGTCGTGGTCATCATGCCATGGCATGGCATCGTGTGGACCTTGCGAACATTCCATGGCACGATGGCATGATGGCAAGGGGCATCATGCCATCCTGCCATGGCATGGCATGACTATGTTCCATCATGGCATGGCATAGTCTGGACCTTGCCATCATGCCATGGCATGCCATGCCGGGTGCAGTATCCCGACGCCGTGTTCATAATGCCATGGCATGGCATCGTCTGGCCCTTGCCATCATGCCATGGCATGATGGCATGATGGCAAGGAGCATCAAGCCATCATGCCATGGCATGGCATGGCTATGTTCCATCATGGCATGGCATCGTCTGAACCTTGCTATCATGCCATGTTCTATCATGGTATGCCATGTCGGGTCCAGTATCCCGGAGTCGTGTTCATCATGGTTATGTTCCATCATGGGATGGCTATGTTCCATCATGGGATGGCTATGTTCCATCATGGCATGCCATGTCGGGTCCAGTATCCTGGAGCCGTGTTCATCATGCCATGGCATGGCATCGTCTCAACCTTGCTATCATGCCATGGCATAATAGCAAGGTCCAGTTTCCCGGAGCCGTGGTCATCATGCCATGGCATGGCATCGTGTGGACCTTGCGAACATGCCATGGCACAATGGCATGATGGCAAGGGGCATCATGCCATCCGTCCATAGCATGGCATGGCATAGTCTGGACCTTGCCATCATGGCATGGCGTGCCATGCCGGGTGCAGTATCCCGACGCCGTGTTCATAATGCCATGGCATGGCATCGTCTTGACCTTGCCATCATGGCATGGCATGATGGCATGATGGCAAGGGGCATCAAGCCATCATGCCATGGCATGGCATTGCTATGTTCCATCATGGCATGGCATCGTCTGGACCTTGCCATCATGCCATGGCATGCCATGTTGAGTCCAGTATCCCGGAGCCGTGTTCATCATGCCATGGCATAGCATCGTCTGAACCTTGCTATCATGCCATGGCATGATGGGAAGGTCCAGTCTCCCGGAGCCGTGGTCATCATGCCATGGCATGGCATCGTGTGGACCTTGCGATCATGGCATGGCACGATGGCATGACGGCAAGGGGCATCATGCCATCCTGCCATGGCGTGGCATGGCTATGTTCCATCATGGCATCGTCTGGACCTTGCCATCATGCCATGGCCTGCCATGTCGGGTTCAGTCTCCCGGAGCCGCCGGACCTTGCCATCATGCCACGGCATGGCCCGGGGTCGCGGAGACGGCAGACCATGCCATGGCATGTCCCGGCGTCCCGGAGCCGCCGGACCATGCCATGCTATGGTCTGGTGTTGCTGAGGCGCCGGACCATAGAATAGCATGGTCCGCCGCCCCGGAGCCGCCGGGCCATGTCATGCTATGGCCTGGCATCGCGGAGGCGCCGGACCATACGATAGCATGGTCCGGAGTCCCCGAGCCGCCGGACCATGCCATGTTATGGTCTGGCGTCGTGGAGGCGTCGGACCATACGACGGCATGGTATGGAGTCCCTAATCCACCAGAGCATGCCACGCTATGGTTTCGCGTCGTGGAGGCGCCTGGCCATACCATGGCATGGTCTGGAGTCCCGGAGCCGCCGGACCATGCCATGGCATGGTCCGCCATTCCGGCGGCTACGAACCATGTCATGGCATGACCCGCCGTTCGCCGTTTCGAAACGCCGTGCACATGCCATTAGGTCTTGCGTGGCGCCTTTGGGAGACCGGCCCACACCATTGCACGGTTCCCCTTGGCACGAAGCGAAAGAAAATGTGGACGTGGAACGACGACAAGTAGATATATAGCACACCTTCGAGAACAACACATTTCCTTCCCACGAATGGAAAAGAACGCTGATGTGGAACGACGAAAGCTTCGTAATGTCATGGAATCAAACGGTCGCCCCGCCTTTTTCCAAAACAAAAGACCCTGTCGAACACTAACATAAAAAATCAAATGACTTTTTAAAAAAAAACAAAAGACCTTTCCCCCAAACAAAATACCTTCCGAACTAAAAAAAGGCCTTTGAGGAGTGAGGGAGGAGGGAGGGAGGCCTCGAGGGAAGGAGGGAGGGCCGTCAGGAACGTAAAATCGAATAGTATGCGTAAAAGCGCGGGAGGGAGGGAGGGCTTTGAGGGAAGGAGGGAGGGCCTTGAGCGCGTAAAAGTGCGGGAGGGACGGAGGGTTATTCAACAAGTCCTGCGTAGTGGACAGGCGTGCTGTAGGACCGAAGCCTTGAGGGGCGCAAAAGTGGTAGTCGAAGAAATCACACCTTCTCAAAGGAAATGCAGAGGCTGGGTGGACTTCTGCCAGACGAAGGCCCCTAACCGAGTGCTGAGGTTCGCAGGTAGCCTGTTTCCAGTTAACGAGGTTGTTCGAAGGCAACGTGGTTGAAGAAGACGCTCGGCTGGTCGACGGCAGCGTGCAAAGGCGCCCCGAGACGGCGCACAGCTGCTCGAAAGGCACCGTGCAAAGGCGCCCCGAGAAGCTCGCAGTGGCGCAGGCGCAGCTTGCAACGGCGCACGTTTGGCAGAATAGCGCTCCATCGGGCTCATGCTTTCGCGGGGATGCAAAATGAAGACGCCGACAGGGGCTAGGGTGTTTTTTCTTCCCTGTCCAGCCCCGCGTGGACCCAAAAAACGTCGCATGCACGACAACCTAATTTAAGAAAAAGGCCGGCCCTGCACGTGGACCAAAAAACGGTGGGCGGTGCAGGCCACGTTTGCGGCCTGGAAGTTTTTCCGTTTCATGCCGGGCCAAGCCCTTTTTCCTGTTGGTATCGGACACGGCCCTTCTAACCGTCGGTACTGAGCCTGCTTTCATGTGGGTTGGCACGAGCCCGCATTTTTCGTTCGGCGTTGTGAGGGTTTGGCGGTGATTGATTCCGGCGGCGACTCAGTTACCACCATCGCCTCAGTTACCACCATCGCCTTATGTAGCACCATCGTCGTGGGCCATTCAATGCCAGCACCCTTCGCCTCGGCTACCGCCATCGCGGCAGGCCATTCTATGCCAGCGTTTGCCATACGCAGAGGTATGACCCTAAACCATCTCCCGTCCCCCTTTCTGATTGATTGTTTGATCCTTTTTCAGGTTTTTTTAAATCAAATACAAATGAATGTTTTCGTTTATTTTTTTATTGATTGATTGGACACTTCTGTTTTCGTGTTTCTTGATTGATTGATTGATTGGACACTTTTGTTTTCGTGTTTCTTGATTTTTTTATTGATTGATTGCTGCCTCTTCTGTGTGTTTCTTTATGGTCTTTTTCAACTGCTCACCAAATTTGTAATATGAGAATGAATCTTCCGCTACAACATGCGAAGATACACGAACATCTTTCTAGAACATGCGAAGATACACGACCATTTTTCTTGTTTTTGTTTATTTTTTTTAATTGATTGATCGATTGATTGATTGATTGATTGTCCGACTTTCCTTTTTTCAATCAATCAATCAATCAATCAATCAATGAACGATATAAAAGCATCCAATCGATCCAATCGGATTGGATTTTGATATTGATTGAATCGAATCAATTGTTTCGATCGGATCTTGATATCAAGACCCGATCAAACCGATCGAATCGATTAAACCGAAATCAAAATCCAATCCTATCGATTCGATTTGATACTTCTGTTTTCGTTTATTTTTTTAGTGAATGATTGGTTGATTGATTGATTGATTGATTGGTTGATTGTTTGATTGATTGATTGACTGGTTGTTTAATCGACCCGGAGTCTCTGCTCCACTTCCATTTTAGTAGGAGATATGGTGTTCGTAGAGGTGGGAGATATGGTGTTCGTAGAGGTAGGGGTACGATGGATATATATATATATATATATATAGAGAGAGAGAGAGAGAGAGAGAGAGAGAGAGAGAGAGAGAGAGAGAGAGAGGAAAGGGGCGAGGCCGGCGAGGAGGAGGAGAAGGAGGAGGACGAGAAG